TTACTCATACAAAAGGTCAAGCAGAGAAACCTGAACTACAGGTCCTTCGTGTGAGTGGCTGGCGTGACCCGTTTACAACTCAGCATACAGTAACTCGCACTGTAACCGAACGACTCCCCATTGTTATATCATTTACTGAGAAAATGAGAGAAGTTCATCACATCTGCACATTTAAAAGAACTATTGTTCCATTCATCCAGGTTCCTCACTCCTCATGACATGAGCAGACCTGTCCTAAATGATATATTTAATCTAATCAACAGCATATGGACCAGCTAAAGTGACTTAAAATAGATGTATTAACTAGTACATTAACTAGTAAGCCAGAAACTTAACTTGGATTTTTTTTTTAGCCTAACTCAAGCCTCAGAAAAGGAAAAACCCAAACTCTTCCCAAAAACGCTACCAACTGCCTTTCACACACACACGCACAGACACGCACATTACGGGGAACTCACCTTCACCTTCTTCCCCTCAATGTTCAGTGTCCGTACAGTGAAATCTACTCCGATGGTGTTCTGCTGTTTCTCTGAGAAAATCCCAGACTTGAAATTCTGAATCACGCAGGTCTTCCCCACGTTTGAGTCTCCGATAAGGATTAACTTAAACAGGAAGTCAAAAGTATCATCATGTTCAGGTGCTGGCATCTCCATGATGAAGTCACAGCAGAGTGTGTGTCTTTTCCTGGGAATAAATGGAAGGAAATGATCCCTCCAGTAATGTAGATCGCTAGGAATGGGTTTTCTTTGAGGGTAAGAGACGCTGGGTTATCTTTGAATTTGAATCAAGACTCAGTCACAAGAAGGAATATGGATATCAAACTTGTGGTGTGTTCAAAGTTTCAACAGGGAACAACTGAAAAAATGCCCTGGCTCCTTCTTCTTCTAACAAAATCTACAGTTGGTAAGCAGGCTAGATTTCCATCAGCAGAGTAGGTTTAGGTAAATATGGCCTGCAAAACCAGTTTAAGGCTGGTGGAAGGTTTGTTAAGATAGAGAGCAGTTCAAAGGTTAAAAAAGCTTCAGACAATCCATCCAGTCATTCAAAAAAATTTCCTAATAAGGCTGCATGTCTTCTGTTTTTAGTTCAGTCTGCCCCTCTTGTGTTCTTTCAAACAAAACCGTCTGAGTTCTGCTTTTCTTTTCAGCAACTTCTCAGTTGTTGACCCACTTTTTAGCCCCCAGCAAAAAACAGCACACGGCCTGTTGCCCCTTTGCACAGGTTCTGGCTGTCGCAGCAAAGGAGAGCTTCCTCAAAATAAGAATTTTTAAAGATGTGTGTCCGTAATCCAGGTTGTCTAATCCACCTGCTGCTCTTTCACACACGTGTCACTGTGTTTCCTCCACCTGACTCTCTCCCTCCCTTTTATTTTCTTCCCTCACCAGTTCTTCCTGTTTTCTTTTTCGCTGTTTAGAGCACCTGTCGTAACAATAGAAACCTGCTCTACCTGCTTTTCGCAAGTAACCCAGCCCAGCATCATTGTTGGATCCTGGGAAATGGAGTCTGTTGACCACCTACACACACAATATGTCTGCTGAAAATCAGAGAATATTACATTATTGAAACTAAGCATATTTCTTTAAGTATTATACTTGAACTCAAAGCTATTTACATTTTAGGTGCATAGGTTTTTCATATTTATATCCTGTTCATAGCCTGTACATAGCTTGTACTCACTACAGCCTGTACATACTTATAGTTATAGAATATTCACAGCATACCTCATACTGTGTACATTATAACATAATAGACCCATTTCTGTAATATACTTACATATCTATATTATTGCTAATATATATTGTAATATATCTATATCACTAAAGCACTTCTGGATGGATGCAAACTGCATTTCGTTGCCCTGTACCTGTGCATGTGCAATGACAATAAAGTTGAATTCTATTCTATTCTATTCTATATGGTGATGGGAAAGAGAAAGTGCACTCTTTTAAGTCACTTTTAAAATTTTGCATATTAGAACATAGTAAAAATTTCGGCCTTACTAGTTTCTAAAACATTTTTAGGAAAAACTAAACAAAAATCAAAGAAATGTGTGAAAAACGGAGAAAATTCAATTATTCAGTAGCTTGAAGCACCAACTTTAGTAGCTATTACTGTGACATCGTCAGCCTTTGTCCCAATTCTTTTTACTGTATAAGTTTCAGTTCGCTAATTTATGCACAGCTCTCTTAAGGTCTTGCCTTAAGAGAGGTTGAGGTAGAAGTTTTGACTTCGACTGCGACATTGCAGCACCCTTTTCAGCCATTCTGTTGTAGATTTGATGCTGTGCTTGGAATCATCAAATCAAATCAAATCAATTTATTTATATAACACTTTTCACAGGATAAAAACCACAAAGTGCTTTGCAGTAATATAAAAAAGAAATACATAAAATACATTAATAAACAAACATACAGCACAAATCTAATTAAAATCTAAATAAATGAGTCTTAAGCTGCTTTTTAAAAGAATAAATACAATCAAGGCAACGTAATGATGGAGGGAGAGCGTTCCACGACCTGGGGGCCACCGCTCTAAAAGATCTATCACCTCATGGTCATGACGCATGACCCCTTTTCAGCCAAGCTTTAGCCATCAGATGGATGTCCTCACATCTGACTGTAGAACACTGAGATGCACAGAGGAGTTCTGTGGCTGCAAAATAAGCCCACAGGCGTACTCAAAATGTGTACTTTCAAAAACTGCATCTTCAATTTACTTTCATTTTTGTTCAATAAATAATGACATGGTGTAATGCCATGTGTCACAGTTCATCTCAGACTGTATTTTCTTAATTAAAGACCACAAAAAACGACCATTTAAGGACCACATAACTTTGAATTGTATCCTAACACATAAAACCTTAGAAGTGATAGAGGGTGTACTTTCGTTTTGTCATTTTTTTAGGTGAAATACAGCATTTTTGTTTTACATTATATATAATGTAAAATAGGCATACAAATATATACATTGGTATGCCTGAATGGATTCAGAAACCTGGCACATTGTAGTTAGACATGCACAGATTAACATTTGGCGGCCCGAATAAATTAGCCTGTCTTACTGAGTTTTGTTCAGAGGATACGAGCGCTTCCTCGATGCTAGCTGTGGCCATGTGGCAAGAGCCACTCTGCCTTTAACCGCGGTTAAGCTAAGCATTACTCCCGGATTCCAATATTTCCGAATGCACCTGAAAGCGGCACAGACCCCTCATCCAGCACATCACAGTGACGTCCTGTGCGGATACAGCAGACAGATGCCCTGACTGCTACGGTCCCAGGTCTACATCCGTAACGTTTTCTCCATGTAAAAGGGCGTTTTAAAGCCCGGGGGAGCAGCAGCAGAATGCAGCGGAGCGCGGTGGTCGTGGTGGCGGATAAAACGAGCTTGAAAAGGCCGTTTATTTTTGCAAATTCAGTCCATATGGTAGGAATTTTAAATCAATGCATTTAAAGCCCAGGGGCCTGTTTGCTATCTTTTTATAAGGTTAAGTAGTTCATTTGTTGTCGTGTTCCCACTCAGATCAATTAATCTAAACCAAACAATGCTGTTTTGTCTGTATACCACGCGTATCGTATGTATGGTTCTTCCAATGTGTTTTTAAGGTTATAGACTAAGAAGTCATCAGAAATGGGGGTGAAATTGCCATTGTGATGAATTTCTGCCTTAATATAAGGACACCCATCCTTTTCCGTCCATCCTCACCCCAGCATCTTCCCTTCAAATCACATATGCAGTATTCTCACATTGGTAATGTTTACAGTGTTCTGTGTTTTCCCAGCTGAGTCACATGTAAAGGCCTTCTGTTTTGCTGTGCTGTTACCTTGCTGTTCAGTACTTCTGCCTTCCATCTGCACTCAAAGGAGCTGCTGCTCCTTTAAGAAGTGACACCCATGATTTAAGCCCTAAACTGAGAATCTTTGCAGTTCCACATTCCCCGAGCTGCAAAACAAGCAGACCTATCATTAACCTCAAATATTTATTTCATTGTGACATCCTCTTAACTCAAAGCTGTTTGCGCACTTAACACATGTTTGCGTTCTTCCTCTCCAAAGGCGCTGTGCTTCTTCTTGCTGACAATGACAGTGGCTTATCATCGAGATATCTTACAAACTGGAAAAGTAAGACCGACTTCTCATGGTTTTGGGGTTTGGAAAAAATAGTTTCAGATGTGTGCATTTATTGAAGGTGGCAATAATGCTTGCCAGGCTTCAGTGGAGACAACTGGGGATTTATACTAGGGGTCTCATCAGTGTCCTTGAGGAAGACAGTGAATAATCATCATGCTCAGTGCACATCTTCTGAATGCAAGCATGACTATTAACCTCAAACAAACCTTAAAAGTGAATGTTAAGTGTAAGCGAAATTCAGGTCGGGTGAAATCTTTCACAAATGTTTGATTCAAGGCTTATTCATCAAAACTGACAAGTCCAGTCGGTGTATCATTTTAACACCATTGTGGTTTTTCCTCTTCAGATGGTGTCTACTGTTTCCGTAGTGATGTTGTACGTGATAGAGATTGGCTGCCTGCTGCTCTCGGTGCTCGGCGTGTTCGGAGCCTTCAAAGAAAAGAGATGGTGTTTTATTCTGGTAAAAGTGTGTTTGTGTTGCTGCTGCGCATGTGGGTCAAATCTATGTCAAATAACAAAGCTCGACTCATTCATTATTCTTGTTTTCGATTTCGTTCATTCGATTTCTTTGTCACTAAAACTTTCACTGATTTTGTTTGTGTGCAGTATGCAGCTGGGATGGCAGCAGCCAGTCAAACAATAATTGTTAAAGCAGCACTAAGTTACCAAGATATTTATGAGGTATGGCATTACGTGAAGGCCCTGCAGTAAAATGTCACCTAAAGCTGCTAAAAAAGCTTTTGCTGTGGTCTTAATATGCTAAGAGAAGATTTTAATGTTGATTTCTCTCTCCTCAGAAACGTGTGGTCAATGAAGAGTCCAAGCTGCTGTCCATGATGCCACTCACTACAACAAGCCAAGCCAACAAGACATGGCTGTATCATATTCAGCAAGAAGTAAGCAGAAGTTACTTATACAGTGGGGGAAATGATTATTTGATCCCCTGCTGAATTTGTAAGTTTGTCCATACAAATGGACAGCCTTCTAATTAGTACCTTGAGGCAACTGTTGTTGTTGTTGTTGTTGGCACTATATAAATAAAATCGAATTGAACTGATTTTGATGATAGTTTCATTTTACATAAAAGTGATAACTTGATTTGCATGTCATTGACTTGGTGGTGAAGCCGTTGTTGGCAAGCACAGTAATAAGATGTTTCTTGTAGTTGGTCACCAGGTTTGCACACATCTAAGGAGGGGGTTTGACCCACTTCTCTTTACAGAAACTGTAAAGAGAAGCTTCTGCTCCTTCAGCTCCTTTGACATTTTTTCTATAGGACTGAGATTTGGAAACTGGGTAGGCATTAATGAGCTTCTTCTTTATGCACTCCTTTGATTCGTCTTAGCATGTTTTGGGTCATTGTCATGCTGGAAGATCCATCCATGACGCATCTACTGTGTTCGGTCTGTCTAACGGAAGACGTACATTCAACGGTACACTGCCCCATCTGTTGACCCCTCAGCGCGGTGAAGCCATCCTGTACCCTTAGCAGAAAAACACCCACAAAGCATAATGTTCCCAACTCTGTGCCTAACTTTGGGAAGGTGTTCGTTGAGTCTGTGCAGGTCTACAATCTTGTCTCTGAC